TGTTGAGGTGGTTTGGTCATTTAGAGAGAATGGATCAAAGTAGAATGACATGGAAAGCATATAAATCTATAGGGGAAGGAAGGAGGGGTAGGGGTCGTCCTCGAAAGGGTTGGAAAGAGGGGGTAAAGGAGGTTTTGTGGGCGAGGGGCTTGGACTTCCAGCAAGCGTGCATGAGCGTGTTAGATAGGAGTGAATGGAGACGAATGATACTTGGGACCTGACGATCTGTTGGAGTGTGAGCAGGGTAATATTTAGTGAAGGGATTCAGGGAAACCGGTTATTTTCATATAGTCGGACTTGAGTCCTGGAAATGGGAAGTACAATGCCTGCACTTTAAAGGAGGGGTTTGGGATATTGGCAGTTTGGAGGGATATGTTGTGTATCTTTATACGTATATGCTTCTAAACTGTTGTATTCTGAGCACCTCTGCAAAAACAGTGATAATGTGTGAGTGTGGTGAAAGTTTTGAATGATGATGAAAGTATTTTCTTTTTGGGGATTTTCTTTCTTTTTTGGGTCACCCTGCCTCGGTGGGAGACGGCCGACTTGTTGAAAAAAAAAAAAAAATTGGAAATTGGCATCTTTTGAAATTTGTGTGAAATTGGCAAAATTGGCAATTTCTGACTACTTTATAGGATAGTTGAAATCGGTAAATGGGCGATTTCTTGTACTTGTTCGATAGAAAAAATAGAGTTCTAGCAAAATATTTATGATTTTTGTTGATTGATACATTAGAATTGGCCGAAAATAGGGCTCAAAGTGGGCGAAATCGCCGATGCGTAAACATTGTCGAGACCACTAACTTCGAGAGAGCATAATTCCATAAGTTTTCCATCAAATTTCATACTTTTGGTGTTCTTATGATCGGGAAAAGATTCTCTATCATTCCATAAGAAAAAATAATTTTTTTTTTCTAAAAATTTCCAACCCTGAGAACAATTTTAGGAGAGGGCCTGCCAACCCTGAAAGGGTTAAAGATAACAGTAACATATGATACTGCATGAGATGTAAAATTTACAATACAGTTCACTACCATGTATACATATTATACAGTACATAAATATTTAAAATATATCAATAGAAGTAAATTATGGTAAAAAGAATGAAATAATGATTGTACATTACATTACAGTACCATGTAGGTAGTTTATATAGGTAAGGTTTGACATTATGCTCTACCCAGTACGTCGGCAATTTTCAAAGGTTCGACTTACGTCCATTTTGACTTACGACTGGTTGGTCGGAACCCAGCTTGGTCGTAAGTCGGATGGTAGGTGTATTTGCCATGGTGTACTCAAAATACTTGTTACTTTCCCTCACAATACTTTCCATCAAGGGCTGGTCAAAGAATAGTTCCAAGAATTCCAGTTCATTTGCAGTGTTTCCAAGGTAACAAGCTGGTAGGATTCCACTTTGAGAGTCGTCAAACTGATGGGGATTGGGAACAAAATTGGGATTTTGCTGCCAATCCCAGATACGGTTTGCTGGTGGATACTGGACATCATAAACTGGTTGTGGTTGTAGCTGTGGTGTGGTGGTGGATGACGCTCCGCTTTGTCCTGGATCTGATGAGTCAGTGGCGTGGGTCCCAGCCTGGGCTGGTGAGTCATGTGTGGCCATGGCACTACCACCACCACTATCACCACCAATACCACCACCTACTGATGCCTGTGGTCTATCTATGCCAAGTGTAACCACATCATCCTCACTTTCACTGTCTATTCCTGGTGTAGGGCCAAGGGATGTACTCCAGGATGTACTCCGTCCCCTTGGCACTGCATAGGAAACACTACCCAAGTGCATGCGGTGGCGTAAATACCGGCACTTCACTGGCGAATATGATTCATCACTATCGCTACTCGAATGATCATCAAGAGCAATAAAATCGAAGTCCACATCACTATCATCACCATTACTCGAGTCTGAGGCCTAGCCACGCGAAAATATTAGTTTTCTCTTGCAGTGAGGTAAAACTGAACATGACTGAGACATGCCCACACCAGAGGTGGAAGGTTGAGGATCGCCAGGATTTTCTGCACTATTTTTGATATCCTGGTCACTGCATTTGGTCACTAATCGATCAAAACCATAGAATTCCTCTTCTTTTCCACTTCCATCAGAGTCAGAACAATCAGTTAGGAAGAGGAGAGTCCCAATTCGCCTCGGAGTGAGAGCTGCCTTGCCACGAGGCATGGTGAACAAAGCTCACTGAGGCGGCATTCCCACATTGCCATGCGGGTGTCTAGAATTTTTGTTTATGGTGCGCACACACACCACACAGACCCGTTCTCTGAGATGTAGGCCTACCAGCCTTCTCGCGCTACATTTGAGACAGCAAGAATTTTGGTGTAGTTCTACGGGTTGGACCCACAACTCAAAGCCATAGAACTACAGCACGGACCCTGAAAGGGTTAAGAGGCCAAAGGACAAATGATCCCTACGAAGACCAAATTGATGAGGGAAGAATTTCAGGTTTCAAAGAACACTACCATGATAAACATTTGTTAACTATACATTCCAGCAACATATCGATTGCACTAGTAAAAGCGACATGTCTGTAACAAGAGGTGTCATGCCCTGAAATACCCACTTCACAAAAATATAAGACAACAGCATTTTTCCACAGAAAAGGAAGAATCCCTTGGGACCTAATGAGACTGGAAAGATGTAAAAAGATGATGGGCACTGCAGGATGTAAATGTTGAAGCACAAGGACATGGATGTCATCAGGTATCAGGTTGAGCTATTGTCACTTGGCAGAAGGATAGTGCTGATGTGAGTTTGTGTAGCAGAAGGGCATGTTATAAAGTTCAACAAAGTGAGAAGTGAAATCTAGAGGCATCAACTGCTTCTTGGATTTAGAAGAAAGAAATTAAGGAGAGATTGTCCACCCCTCGGATACACATACAAAGTGATGCCCAATTGTTATGACAGTGTCATGTCACCACCTACCATAAGAAAGAGCAGGATCTGGGGAGTACTTACCAATCAATTTCTGTAACATTTTTCCCAGACTGCACACACAGAGGTAGTAGCAGTGACAGTTGACACATAAGCAAGCCAATAGGTATGTTTTGCTTCCCAGATAACACAACAGGCAATCACTTTTGTCTGTTTAAAAGTTAGGAACTGGCCTGTAATTTTCAAATGCAGTGCGAGCACAGTCCGAAGCCCACCAGAGAATACATTTCTGATGTTTAACCGAGGTTTGGAGGGCTGTAGTCTATGCTGTAGCAAAATTAGTGGTGGTAAAAATGCACAACTCATCTGAAGAGGATGAAGCTCTCAAACTGCCAACAGGAACAAGATCAAGTGTAATAATGAGAAGTAAGGAGAAGAGGAAAATGATCGCTGTCGTGAAGATTAGGTACTACACGCCAATTGAAGTCAGGCACTATAAAAGAGTATATAGGAAGATCTACACAGGAAAGAGAACGAGTATGAGGATACCTGTGTTTAAGACATGTACAGGAAGAGAAGTAATTAAAGCCTCTAACTGGTCCCCATGAATCAAAAAAACCCTCCACAGGGCAAATGATGAGCATTAAAATCACCTAATAAAAGGGGTGGAGTAGGTAAGAAAGAAATTAGAAATGGAATGTCGGGGATAGATAGTGGGAATAAAGGTGATAGTTACAAAGAGTAGACAGTGTACCATTTGCCCAAACAGACTTGGGCTGCAATATAATGAAGCAGAGTATGAACTAAAAGTTGAGAATAAGGAATATCACTGAGCACAAGCAGTGTATTTTTGTTGTACATCTCATCAGGAACTGGATCAGTGACTAAAAGAAAAAAAAAACTTAGCCAGAAATAAAAAGTCCAAGTGTGTAATTTAATTCTGGTTCTTGTACGCAAACCCATACAGGGAAAAAATTGGAAGAGCAACAAGTGGAACTCTCCCCAACTCCTGCCGTATCCTCTGATATTCCACTGCACTAATGCCATTATGAGTAACTAGTAATACACCAAGAACATAAAATAGTGGCTATGACCTGGGGTGTCCAGTAAAATCAACATGCAGAGGTAGCAGTAAATCAGTAACGAGGGATTTATGAGTTTTTTATTATTATTATTATTAACACATCGGCCAATTCCCACCAAGGCAGGGTGGCCTGAAAAAGAAAAACTTTCATCATCATTCACTCCATCACTGTTTGCCAGAGGGGTGCTTTACACTACGATTATAAAACTGCAACATTAACACCCCTCCTTCAGAGTGTAGACACTGCACTTCCCATCTCCAGGACTTAAGTCCGTCCTGCCGGTTTCCCTGAATCCCTTCATAAATGTTACCTTGCTTACACTCCAACAGCACGTCAAGTATTAAAAACCATTTGTTTCCATTCACTCCTATCAAATACGCTCATGCCCCTCACACACAAAACCTCCTTTACCCCCTCCCTCCAACCCTTCCTTGGCTGACCCCTACCCTGCCTTCCCTCCACTACAGATTTATACACTCTCAAAGTCATTCTGTTTTGTTCCATTCTCTCTACATGTCCAAACCACCTCAACAATCCCTAATCAGCCCTCTGGATAATAGTTTTGGCAATCCCACACCTTTTCCTAATTTTCAAACTATGAATTCTCTGCATTATATTCACACCACACATTGCCCTCAGACAGGACAAATCCACTGCCTCCAGCCTTCTCCTCGTTGCAATATTCATCACCCATGCTTCACACCCATCCAAGAGTGTTGGTAACTGTAGATATAGAATGTAGGGGGTTGTGGAGGGTGAGACTGTGAAGATAAGGAGATGGGTCAATGTCCATCAAGGGTTTTGTATTATTAATATAATCCAATATGGCTGCAAGTGTTTCTATAGACAAGAAAGCAACAGATGGGATATGAAAATAATATTTATGTATACAGTGAATTACCAACAATACGACTGCATTGAGGCCACACTCCTTTCGGTTTCAGCAGTTTGTCATAATAAAACCAAAAAAATATAGAAAATTTAAAATATATATTAATAATAATTAGTACTCACCAAATGCTGAATGTGCTGTCCTCTTGTACATTACAAGGGTAGCTACACCATCTAAGCGTCAGCACTACTTGAAGTGCAGGCAACTGGAGTGCTTGTTGAAGCAAGTAGTACCTTCTTAAATAATGACATCACCAGGGGCTGCTTTTTTAACCAAGAATTCTCCAACATTTGTACATCTCTCTCAACCTAGTCACCAGTACCACTTGACGATTAGCTATGTATGATTTATTTTGCACACAGACTGCCATTTCCTCAAAGTTGGCTATAATCTTTTCTAATGTTACATCAGTACCTTTAGCACCTACATCCTCAATGCTTACATGAATTTTGCCAATTTGCGAGTTATTTACATTTCCGACATATAAAATCAATGGTGTGAATGTTTCATGAAAAGAAGATCTTTATCACAGTTTTATCAGTTCAAAATGTTAGACATCATTTCACAGCTTTTTTTTGGCATTGTTTTTTTTTTTTAATTTGCATTAGAAGTTTTGCTGAACCCTTTAAAAACTACATCAACTGAATCATCTTGACAAAGCATACCAGCAGGTCATATTTTACACCATATAATGATCAGGGTCATAATTCTACCTCACTGACTTTGCAATGCAATTGGGAGCAATTTTATGGTAAATTGTTTTAATTTTTTATATGGGTTTCATGAAATCCAGGAAGTCACTATTTATTCATTTGTAATAAATGGCATTTCAAACTGGCAAATGTACCTTGATCTATGAACATTTTGTTAGGTTGTATCTATTCCATAAAAAATATTCAGAGCATTTTAAAGTATTTGCACCTTAGGTGGACAAGCAGAGCAGTTATCAAGCAGTAGAATTACCTTGCAGTGTTTATGTAGATCAGCTGTGTGACTCAGATTTTTATTTTTATTTCTTCCAGGCTTCCACATGGGAATTTAAGATTGTCTCTTCTAATCAGCTTCAAACATTCAACACTATCGTATTTTACTTAAGAGGAAATTTCCACTTGTTATAGGAATGTGTAGGTGTTAATCTGTCAATTACATAACCAAATTGTGATTTTGGCTTCCATGCAATAACCTGAGAATTCCTTTTCTGACTGGTTTTAAACTTTCAATACTAGTGCATCTTATGCAAGAAAACTTCATATTGCTATTGCAAAGTGCACATGCCAAATACCTCTATTAAATTTTCTAAAAGTTATGGTATTTTTACTCTAGGAAATAACTTTTAAACCCTATTTTGAATGGCTTAAAACTTACTTTGCTGACACACATAACAAAGATAAAAACCTCAGCAAAGTTTTATTTTGTGCAGGTGTAAATCTGCACCTTTATAACAATTAAGAATCTATACATTAATACCCTACACATAGGAGACCGAAACCTATGATAACATTTTGGTCCGACTTGGACCATTAACTAGTAACACATGCACGCGCGCGCACACACACACACACACACACACACGTGGCTAGTTAAAGGTCTGAGCCAAACGTCTGACTAGTTAACCCTTTGACTGTTTTGGTCGTATATACACGTCTTACGAGCCAATGTGTTTGACGTATTAATACGCCAAAATTCTAGTGGCTTCAAATCAAGCAGGAGAAAGCTGGTAGGCCCACATGTGAGACAATGGGTACCCATGGTCAGTGTGCGCCATATAAAAAAAAAATTGCGGAGCCAGCGGTGCACTGTGGGAATGCCATTTCAGTAGTCCTTGTTCAGCATACCTAGAGGTAAGAAATATGTGACTCCTGGCAAATCTGGGACTTCTCTTCCCAAGTGATCGCTCTAACACAGATGGAAGTGTCAGTGAAGATCAATTTCATGGTTTGAAGGAGTTTGTGACCAAAAGCAATGCCCAGGATACCAGAAGAAAGAAAGAGAAAGGAGAATGAAAGAGAATGAAAGAATGAAATAGGAGAAAGGAGAAAGGAGAAGAAAGAAAGAAGAAGAAAGATAATTAGGTAGGAGGATGAAGGGGAAGCAAGCATTGGACCCCATTGTTTTGACAGGCAGTAGGGGGAGTGAGTAATGGTACAATATGTCATTTTGACAGCTGCCAGAACCTGATTCAGCACATTTAGAGGTGTGTGTACACACACACACACACACACGCTGCAGCATACAGGCGCCTGGCAAACCTGAGAATAGCGTTCCAATACCTTAATAAGGAATCGTTCAAGACACTGTACACTGTGTATGTTAGGCCCATACTGGAGTATGCAGCACCAGTCTGGAACCCACACCTGGTCAAGCACGTCAGGAAGTTAGAGAAAGTACAAAGGTTTGCAACAAGGCTAGTCCCAAAGCTCAAGGGAATGTCATACGAGGAAAGGTTAAGGGAAATCGGACTGACGACACTGGAGGACAGAAGGGTCAGGGGAGACATGATAACGACATACAAGATACTGCGGGGAATAGACAAGGTGGACAGAGATAGGATGTTCCAGAGGACAAGGGGTCACAACTGGAAGCTGAAGACTCAGACGAGTCACAGGGACGTTAGGAAGTATTTCTTCAGTCATAGAGTTGTCAGCAAGTGGAATAGCCTAGCAAGTGAAGTAGTGGAGGCAGGAACCATACATAGTTTTAAGAAGAGGTATGACAAAGCTCAGGAAGCAGAGAGAGAGAGGACCCAGTAGCGATCAGTGAAGAGGCGGGGCCAGGAGCTGAGTCTCGACCCCTGCAACCACAATTAGGCGAGTACAATTAGGTGAGTACACACACACACACACACACACACACACACACACACACACACACACAAAAGAATATATTGTTGAAGGAAACTGAAGGTATGGTATGATAGAAGGTATGAGAGAATAACGAATAAGTGGGAGGAGTGGCATGAATCACAGAGGCATCACCAGACATCATAGCTCTCATAGAAACCAAGCTCATGGGAATCATAACAGATGCCATCTTTCCAAGTGGATATCAGATCCTGAGGAAAGACATAGGAAACAGAGAGGGGGGAGGAGTGGCACTGCTCATCAAAAGCCAAAGGGATTTTGAGGAGCTGGAGAGAGAAGACAGAGGAGAAGCAAGGGATTACATATCAGAAACACTTCAGACTGGAGGTTCCAAAATGGTGAGTGCCATGATGTATAACCCACCACAGAATAGCCAAGGCAAGAATATGATGAGAGTAACAGAGCAATGGTTGACACACAGGCTGAAATGGCAACAAGAGTCCACGTGGGCAGGGCAAAACTACTGGTTGTAGTAACTTCAATCACAAAAAAATTTACTGGAAAAACCTGGAGCCACATGGGGACCTAGAAACATGGAGGGCTAAGATGATGGAGGTGGTACTGGAAAACCTCATGCATCAACACCTAAGGGACACTACCTGAGAGAGAGGAGAGGACGAACCAGCAAGACTGGACATAGTATTCACTTTGAGTAGTGCAGATATTGAGGACATCACATATGAAAAACCCCTTGGGGCTAATGATCATGTAGTTCTGAGCTTCGAATACATAGAGTTACAAGTGGAGAGGAAAGAAGGAAGAGCAGGACAAATGAAGCCAAACTATAAGAGAGGGGACTACATGGGCATAAGGAATTTCCTGCAGGAGGTTCAATGGGAAAGAGAGTTGGTAGGAAAGTCAGTAAATGAAATGTTGGACTACGTAACAACAAAATGCAAGGAGGCAGAGGAAAGGCTTGTTCCCAGGGGTAACAGAAAAAATGGGAAGACCAGAATGAGCCCTTGGTGTAGAGAGGCCAAAACCAAGTGTGCTAGAGAATGGAAGAAAGTTAGAAATTATTAGACTCAGTGAAAAAGGTATGTAGATGGCCAAGATGGGATGTAAGCAATTAAATGTGCTACACTAGCAAACATTAAAGTTACAAGAAAATGTGATAACCTTATTGATGACATGGAAAACTTTTACTGGTGTGGACTGAAGATCAAACTAGTCACAGTGTGCCTTTAAGCCAAGCCATTATCCAGTCCAAGGCCCTAAGTCACTTTAATTCTATGAAGGCTGGGAGAGGTGAGGAAGCTGCTGAAGATAAATTTGAAGCTAGCAGAGGCTGGTTTCAAAGGTTTAGGGAAGGAAGCTAGCTTCCCATCATCAAAGTGCAGGGTGAAGCAGCAAGCGCCAATACTTTAGCTGCAGAAAATTATCCATATGAGCTAGCTGGAATAATCAAATGTGGTGGATGTACCAAGCAATAGATTTTTAATATGGATGAAACTGCATCAGTTTGGAAGATGCCCTCTAGGACACTGCTAAAGAAGAGAAGGTACTGGAAGTGCCTGGCTTCACAGCTGCAAAAGACAGGCTAACACTCTTGCTAGGGGCTAATGCAGCTCGGAGAATCCTATGTAGTACCCTAAAGAACTATGCAAAAGGTAGCCTCCCTGTTCATTTTAAATACAATTCCCAAGCTTGAATGACTGCCGATCTTTTCATAAACCGGTTCACAGACTCTTTTAACCCTACAACTGAGGTTCACCGCAAAGAAAAGAACATTCCTTTCAATGTTTTACTTCTTGTAGGTTGTCTATGTCTGCAAGCACAACTTCATTATTGCAACCGATGTACCAGGGTATAATTGCAGCCTTTAAGTCTTATCACCTAACAAGAACTTTCACTAAGCTTGTAAATGTCTTAGTGATAAAATGCCTGGCCCTAAACAAAATAAATTAAAAGGTTTCAGGATTTTCGATGGTAATAAAAATATTAGAGATGTATGGAATGAAGCAAAAGAAACTACACTGAAGGTGTATGGAAGAATCTAATTCCTGAACTTATGGACAATTTTGAAGGCTTTGAAAATCCAGTGGAGGATGTCACTACAAATGAATGGATATGATATGGTAATTATAATTTTAAGTCTGAGGATATGGAAGAATTGCTTCTCTCTCATGATAAGGCCCTAACAGATAAAGATCTGATTGAAGAGCAAAGAAAAAAAAGTTTCATAAAGAGAAGATCCATGCTGATGATAGTTCTGTTGCCATTTAAAAAATGATATCCAAGGATTTGAAAGAAGCTATCAGCCATGTAGAAATGGCAATGGCAAATTTGAGAAGACTGATCCAAATTTCAAAATAAGTTTAAAAACGAATACAACCCCTTTTAAATGGTGTTAAGTGCTATAAAGAAATTTTAAGGGAAAGGAGACAAAAATCCATGAGGTAAAGTTTACTGCTTTCCTACTTTAAGAAAGTATCATGGTAACCTTCAACAGCAACAGTTAGCCTTGAACAGCCTTCACCATCAACCACAACACACACTTCACCCAAGTTTCCATCAAAACGAATAAAATTAAAGATAAAGATTTTATTTCTTGAAGTGTCAGAGGATGAAGATGTGTCATCTTCTCCTGACTTCCTACAACAAATACTACTCACCTCTCACCCTACATTAACCCTTTGACTCTTTTGGTCATATATATACGTCTTACGAGCCACGTATATATGTATACTCATAAATTCTAGCGGCTTCAAATCAAGCAGGAGAAAGCTGGTATGCCCACATGTGAGAGAATGGGTCTGTGTAGTCAGTGTACACCATATAAAAAAAATCTGCAGCACGTAGTGTATAACGAAAAAAAAAAAAACTCCGACCGTTCTTTTAAATTAAAATGCCGACTTTGTGGTCTATTTTCGTATAGTATTTATGGTTGTATTCTCGTTTTCTTGGTCTCATTTGATAGAATGGGAAACATATTATAGAAATAGAGGTGATTTTGATTGGTTTTGCTATGAAAAGAACCTTGAAATGGAGCTTAAATTAGCAGAAATGTTTGATTTTTGCAGATGTTCAAAAGTAAACAAATGATGTCATTTTCCAATAAATGTCCAAGTAACCATTCTAATATGCAGTCATTATTTATACAATTATTACAATATTGCAGTAGTCTGCATAACAGTAAATCTTCTATTTTTTGTTTGAATAAAAATTCAAAATAGAAAGCAAGAGTAATATCAGAGGAGCCTGGAGACATGGCTGATGAACAAAGAAAATGTTGTTTTAGAGGCAGGAATGTCTGCATTGTTTATTCTGGACCCTATTTTGAAATTGTCATATATTTTTTTAATTTTCATGAAATTGGCCAAATTGCAAATTTCTGACCACATTATTGGGTAGTTGAAATCGGTAAATGGGCAGTTTCTTGTACTCAATCGAGAGAAAATATGGAGTTCTAAAGAAATAGCTATGAGTTTGGTCAACTGGAAGAATGGTATTAGCCAAAAATAGGGCTCAAAGTGGGCAAAATCGCCGATTTGTAAATACTGCCGAGGTCGCTAACTTCGCGTGAGCGTAATTCCGTCAGTTTTCCATCAAATTTCATTCTTTTGGTGTCATTACAATTGGGAAAAGATTCTCTATCATTTCATAAGATTTTTTTTTTTTTTTGAAATTTTGAAACACCAGGAGACACCTCAGGATTTGGGGTTGCAACAGTCAAAAGGTTAAGACTACAAATATTTTAAGGCAAGTAATAAGTGTACTGTATATGCATTTTACTTTTTTACTGTTATTTTATACCTAGTTCTATTGCTAACTTAATATATGATAGTGTTAACATGTTATCAGGCATTTATATGCCTGATAACATGCATTTATATTTTATGGTGGTAACCTGGAACCTAACCTGATGTGTAAGCAGGGCCCTCCTGTATGAGGTTCTCAACTTTTTTTCCTAGTATTACTGATTCTTAATTGTAATTCACATGTTTTTGGTACATTTCAGTATACTACATCATATTCTTATTTTCCACTACATTGTAGTTTTATGCTATTTTTTATATAATCAAAACTAGCATTCATCTTGTACATGTATTTTAATATTGACCTTCAACTAAATCTACTTGTCTGCTTTCTATAAAATCATTTTTTTCCAGATCATAACTGCAGCAACACCAAGAATATATCAGTATTTAATTAAAATGTCAGATCCCTGGGTAAACACTGACAATACTGCAGTCATAAATTCATTATATGATAATACAACTTTCATTTTTCTTACAGAAATTTGGCTTAAATGCAACATATAGGCATTTTAAGCTTAGACAGCAGCATAAATGCAGACTGATCAAATGTGAGGTGGAATTGCTATCTACTACACTAATGAGTTGAGATGAATTACTCAAAATACAGTGGGAGATGAATTTGGCAAATATATATTTGTGCAATTTACAACCAAAAATTTAAAAACCCTCAATTATAATCGAAACTGTCTACAGGTTTCCACATACTAATATTGCCACCTTCAGTGTCAACCTTAATAAAAACTTTTATCATAAACAATAAACTGAACAAGCATCACTTAATTGTTCAAGACTTCAACATCAACCTCATACAAGTTGAAAATCTGCAAGCAATTCCACAAGAATTTCTGAGATAACCGCATCCTCACTTGATCATATCTGGACCAACATAACTCCTCTGAAAACAGAACTAATCACAGACTGACACTATAACTGATCTCTACCCTAGCTTTCTTGTAAAAAATATGAAAATTAGCACTCAAAATAATCAAATCTCATTCCAGCTCAATGCTGAGACATCAGTTAATAACTATACAGCAGTCAGTGACACTGGCAATCTTGCTATTAACAGTGCCCATGGCAGAGAAACTTTACTGACAATCTTGACATGGACACAAGCATCTGTGTTTTCATTTTTAACACACTGGCCTTCTACCAAAGTAAGGTGACCCAGAAAAAAAAAAACGCATTCACTATCATTCATTCAGTTGCTGTCTTGTCAGAAGTGTGATGACATAATTCAAAGTAGTACTGTAATAAAATGGTGAAGGAGTGTTGTTATTTATTAAGGGCTACAACGAATTGAGCTATACAAGCCTTCTTCAAAGGATAGGGTCACTATGACTCATTAAGGAATAGGCTGTTGTGACCCTATAAACTACAAATAAACCTTTTTATAGTTACACAACTTTCTCATTTAACCCCTAAACCACATAAGACCCAGAAAAAAGTTTTAACATGGTAAAATTAAAAAAAAAAATCTTAACCATTTCAAAGAGTACCTTTTTCCAAGTAGAATAAAACAAACAAAAGAGAAATCCAATGAAAACTTACTAATTTACGAAGTGCTGATGCTGGCAAAAAGTGATCCATTGACGGCAACACTGACATAAAAGCGCTAAGCATTATTTATGTTTTTTAATTTTTCAAAGTCAAATTATCACTTTTCATTTTCTTGGTTTTCAAGAGCTTTTAGTAGTGAAAACAGGCAGAGAAACACATCACACCATAACGTCATTATCAACATTCCCATTAAAATTGTTCTAATAAATGTTTTATCTTATTTCTAATGTTGGTTTTTGTCTTTCAACACTATGTATAGAACAATTACAATATTATGATTGTTTCAAAGTGTGATATTCCCCAAAAAATAGAGACAGACACAGTGGCACATCACACAACTTACAGTAATATTGCAAATCATTATTACTGCCAGGGCAACTGGTGGTACCGCGTGTACTAATGGCAGGGCTGTTGGTGGTGTCACAAGTATTGGCAGGGCAGCTGGTGGTGCCACATGTGGTATAGGCAGAGCAACTGGTGGTGCCACATGTGGTGTAGGCAGAGTAACCAGTGGTGTCAGAGCTGCTGATGGTACATGTGGTGTTGTCAAGGTTACTACTGATGCAACATGTAGTGTTGGCAGAGCAGCTGGTGGTGTCACATGTGATGGCAGAGCAAATGACAGACAGGGCTGGTAGTGGTGACACATGCAGTGTGAGCAGCTGGTGGTGTTGGAGGGTGCTGTTGACATTAAGTGTGGTGCTGGCAGAGCTAGTGGTGCCTCATGCAGCACTGATAGGTCAACTGGCGATATCTAGGGTGCTGGTGGTATTGCATGTGGTGTTAGCAGAACTAGTGGTGTCAGGAGAGCTGGTGGTGTCACATGTAGTGCTGACAGGGGAACAAGTGATGCCAAGGGGACTGGTGATGTCTGGGGTGCTGGTGATGTCAGTGGGTGCTGGTGATGTCAGGAGGAGCTGATGTCCAGTGGGTTGTTGGTGACATCAGAGGGTGCTGATGTCAAGGGATGCTGGAAGTGTCAGGGGTGCTGGTAGTATCAGGGGGTGCTGATGGTGTCAAGGGGTACTGGTGGTGTCAGGGATGCTGGTAGTGTCAGCAGTGCCAGTAGTCAGGGGTACTGGTGGTGTCAGGGATGTTGGTAGTGTCAGGGGTGCTGGTAGTTAGGGGTGCTGGTGATGTCAGGGGTGGTGGTGTCAGGTGTGTTGATGTCAAGGATGCTGGTGGTGTCACAATTACTGTTGGTAGGGAATCTGGTATAATGTCCTTGTGATAAGACAAGGGCAATTAGTGGCATCAGGGATGCTGGTGGTGCTACAACTGGTGGTGGCAGGACAGCTGGTGGTGTTACATGCAGTCTTGGCAGGGCATTTGGTGTCACATGTGGTTTTGGCAGGGCAATTGGTGGTGTCATATGTGGTCTTGGCAGGGCAAGTGGTGTTACATTTGGTCTTGGCAGGGCAACTGGTATTACATGTGGTCTTGGCAGGGCAGTTGGTGGTGTCACATATGGTCTTGGCAGGGCAAATGGTGTCACACATGGTCTTGGCAGGGCAGTTGGTGGTGTCACATGTGGTCTTGGCAGGGCAGTTGGTGGTGTCACATGTGGTCTTGGCAGGGCAGTTGGTGGTGTCACATGTAGTCTTGGCAGGGCAGTCGGTGGTGTCACATGTAGTCTTGGCAGGGCAGTCGGTGGTGTCACATGTAGTCTTGGCAGGGCAGCCGGTGGTGTCACGTGGTCTTGGCAGGGCAGTCGGTGGTGTCACGTGGTCTTGGCAGGGCAGTCGGTGGTGTCACGTGGTCTTGGCAAAGGTAACAGGTGTCATATGTAGTAATGGTAGAGCAACTGGAGATGCCACATGAGGCTAAGTGAACATCAAACACAGACTGGTCCCCTGAGGTATAGTGTACATCAGACAGCCTGGTCCCCTGAGGTGTAGTGTACATCAGACACAGCCTGGTCCCCTGAGGTGTAGTGTACATCAGACACAGCCTGGTCCCCTGAGGTATAGTGTACATCAAATACAGCCTGAAGTATATTGTACATTAGACACAGCCTGGTCACCTGACATATAGCATACATCAGACAACCTGGTTCACTGAGGTATGCCATTCACCAGACAGCCTGGTCCCTGACGTATGACGTATGTGAAAACAGCCTGGTCCCCGACATATGTCAAAACCGCCTGGTCCTGACAGCATACATCACACACAGTTAAAGGGTTAATAGCTTTTTCATATTTATCAATCACGAACACATTCAACAACTGTAGAAATAAAGAGTAAGTACAGTACATGACCACTAAAGACATGGTAATGTTTAAGCTTTTTTTTTTTTTCCAAACTTTACAGAATGGACAATCAATTGGTTTTCTCACACAATTATGACTTGGGTGCTGGCTTTCAATAGCAATTTGTTGAAATCAGGCTTTCTAGACACACAATAAATGGGTTTCTACTGACTCATGCTCCACTGCATCCAAAATAAGTCCCAGACATCCATACGTGATAAATGCAGTTGCGCAAAGACTTACTGAGGAGCATTATTTAAGAAACGAAACTCATTTCATGATAGTTTAGTGATGGCAAAAGAAAAAGGAAGTAATGTCAGTAAAGCTCTGGGACTTGTTGCCTCTACAATATGTTAAGAAGATACTAAATGTAGATGTAGGGAAGCTTTTATTGGTACATTTCACCCAACGGGTGAAACAGTGTACCAATAAAGGCTTCCCTTCATTTAGCGTTTTACCATTTGACAGCATTTTATGCCTTTGGTATATTTGCAATATACACTATTTAGCTGCATCTTTCCTAACTTTAAAACCTAAATTTCATCAAAATTCACTGCCAAGCTGTGATCTGCAGCTATGCTATCCAATTCAATTCTCTGATAAGCCATCTCCCACTGAGGGAAGGTGCTCCTAAAAAAGAAGAAACAAATTTTTCTTTTTACATTTAGTAATTTATACAGGAGAAGGGGTTACTAGCCTCTTGCTCCCGGCAGTTTAGTCGCCTCTTATGACACGCCTGCTTTACAAAGGAGGGATTCTTTCCCACTTCTATTAAATGTAATTAAATATTTTTTGGGGTCATTTTTTTTTTGTTTCTGCTTTCTGTTTGTAAAAAAAATTTTCCTTAAACATATCCTATTTCATTTAATGGAAGCCTATAGGAAAACATGATTCATTTCATGAAAATTTGCTTAAGTTTTTTTTAACACAATCCACTCATTAAAATAACTACCAGTCTCGCATAAAAAATTTACGGCGTATCTGTGATATTGGTTATTTTAAATGTAACATTTCATAATGTAAATCTTGAAATGAAAGAAACTACTTGTACATCAGAATCCCAATTAAATAACTAGATACTTGTTAAGTAATAAACAATAACAAAGAAAAACAAAATATATATAAAGTACTACCACAATATAGTATAAATAAAAATATTCTCAAGCCCCCTTCCCCTCAGGCTTCATAATGTATCATTCATGTTTAGTGTAAATTTCTATCTTTATTTCAATGCAGAAATAAATGTCCTATAAAATTATCTTTAGTAAAAGAAATTGGTCGGTTAACAATGAAGGTAGAACAAAAAGTAGTAAGAGTATTCAAAAAATTGTCTTACAGATTAGAAGGTTATAAAGTTGTAGTTGTAAAAGGTATGTTAATATTGACAAGATGTGAATATTGACATTTATGCACAGTTCATGTCACCTGCCTCCTGCCATTATATATGCTCCCCTCTTAGGCATTTTTGGTGTTAGAACTAAACAAACCACCAATGGCAAAACATTTCCTATAATAAATGTCCTGAACAGTACATAAGTGTCATTATAAAGCTGTAGTTTTATTTGAATTAATTTAATACCAACTAATATGAGTGGTCCTTTACTAGATGATGTCGTTGACAATCTACATGGTACATCACTGTAAACGAGTTATCATAAGTTTAAAATTATATTCTAATTAGAGTGATAGTTTTAGAATTGTGGAATTAAAAAAAAATATTTTCAATGTTTCAAAATTATCTATTTTGAAAACTAATGTAAACTTCTGCATAAAACTAAGAGAACTCATACACTGTAATTCCAATTATATCTACATTCAGATATTTATAATATATGTAATAGTAATTGAGAAAATATCTATCTTTCAGGTTTACTGTAAAGTTTTCTTCAGTATATTTTATATGCAGAGATATTTGACTTATAAAATGCTTCAGAGTAAATAAAAATTATGCCTTAAATAATCAAAATAGATGAAAGGGGAGTTGCTATCCATTGGAATGGGTGTCACTGTATCACATAGCTACTATAAGTTTTCAGGCATTTACCATTAAAGGCTTATTCGTGTATGGAAATTAAATGTACAGTAACGAATGGTATTCTCAAAACCCTGAAGGAGATATTGCCACCAACAATCACAAAATTTAAATACCAAAAAATTAGACTGTATTATGTAAATGTGTAACTACAATGATACTGTGGTGAAAGAAATTAACTTAGTCCCACAATGAATGGTTGAGTGCCAAGATCTCTATATTTCAAGATTTTCTCAGGAAGTGCCAAATAATAGGGAAATGGTGGCAAGAATAAAAGATGAATAAATGTATACGTCTGTACTGTCCCCACTATCTCACTCTAACTTCAAGCTCAACTCTCTTTCTCTACTCTTTATAGAGCATTTGCTCCAAGGAAATCCAAAAATATAGATGAAAGCTTGGAACTCTGTCATACATTTACTTCTGAGACTACATAAATATTTTACTGTATATGGTATATGAAAAACC